GTCAAAAAAGCAAACAGAATGTTGGGAATCATTAGGAAAGGGATAGAAAACAGAAAATACATAAATCCATGCTGTGCCCACTGTGGTTGCTTCAGAACAGAACACCTAGCCATTAATTGATTAAGGGTTTACAGTTAAGACAGGCTGAGAGTTTTGTAGAGCACATAGCTAACAGGAGCAGGTGTTGAGATGTTTCGAAGTGGAGTCAATTGCATCTCTGTGATCCCTTTCCACCTCTGCAGGTAAATCCAGCCCAGGAAAGGTACTGGCTGCATGTCAGCGCTGACGCAAGCAGAATGACATTAGAAGCAGGAAGTCAACTAACCAACCAGTGGGGCCACTGGACGATGGAGATGCTAAAGGAGCACTTGAGGGCGATGAGACTATTGCACAGAAACTAAATTAATTCTTTGCATCGGACTTCATGTTCCCAAATGCGAGTCATTCTTTTTAGGTGACAGATCTGAGGCACTGTTCCAGATTGAGGTGCCATTAAAGGAAATTATGGAATAAAGTGATAAACTGTAATGAGTCACCAACCGCAGATGGCATTCCCCCAAAACTTCTGAAGGACCTCAGATATGAAATTGCAGAATTACTAATTCTAGTGTCAGCGGGGTAGCCATATTAGTCTGCGTTTGGAAAAACGACGAGTCCTTTAGCACCTTAAAGATGAACAAATTTATTTGGGCATAAACTTGCATGGGCAAAGATGATGAATCTGACGAAGTGGGTCTTTGCCCACAAAAGCCTATGCCCAAATAAATGTGTTAGTCTTTAAGGTGCCACAGGACTACAGGTGCCACTGTACTTTGTAAATGATCCTTTAATTCAACTTCTCTACCAAATAACTAGAGAATAGCTAATGTGACACCAATCTTTAAAAAAGTGCTCCAGAGGCAATCCCGACAACTACAGGCTGAAAAACCTGACTTCAGTACCAGGCAAACTGGTTTTAATTATAATAAAGAACAAAATTTCCAGAAATGTAGATGACCATAGTTTGTTTGGGAAATGTCAACATAGTTTTTGTAAAGGGAAATCCTGCCATACCTATCTACTAGAATTCTTTGTGCGGGGCAACAAGCATGTGGACAAAGGGGATCCAGTGGATGTAGTGTACTTATATTCTCAGAAAGCTTCCGAGCAGGTCTCTCACCAGAAGCTCTTATGCATAGTAAGCAGTCATGGGACAAAAGGGAAGGTCTTCTCATGAACGGGTAACTGGTTAAAAGATAGGAATTAAAGGGTTGGAGTAATGGTCACTTTTCAGAATAGAGAGAGGTAAATATTGGTGTCCCCCAAAAGTCTGTTCTGGAATCAATCCTATTCCCATATAAATGAACTGGAAAATCATGGCCAAAAGTGAGGTGGCAAAAGCAAACAGAATGTTGGGAATCATTAGGAAAGTGATAATAAATACATAAATCCATGCTGTGCCCACATCTTGATGTGGTCACTTCAAACAAAAAACCTAGTCATTACAGCCGCTCCCCAAATTGTGAATGGTCGAGTTACGACCGTTCGCACTTACGAGTAAAGCTCCCATGGAGCGGTCATAACGGCGGTCCCCGAGTTACGAACGCAACCCGCGCTTACGAACAGTGCGGTCGCGTGTAACTCAGTGGGGTCCGAGTTATGAACAGATCGAGTTATGGCCACGTGTTTGGTCCGTAACTTGTTCAGAACTTGGAGAGAGGCTGTAATTGATTAAGGGTTTACAGTTAAGACAGGCTAAGAGTTTTGTGGAGGACATAGCTAACAGGAGCAGGTGTTGAGATGTTTCGAAGTGGAGTCAATTGAATCACTGTGATCCCTTTTCCACTCTGCAGGTAAATCCAGCCCAGGAAATGTACTGGCTGCATGTCAGTTCTGACGCTAGCAGGCTTGCACTCGTCTGGGAATACGGTGGGATCTACATGGACACCGATGTCATCTCCATTAGGCCTATTTCGCTGAAAAACTTCCTGACGGCCGAGGCTCCCCAGGTCTCTGGTAGTGCGATTTTTGGCTTTTCTCGCCATCACTGGTTCATTTGGGACTGCATGGAAGATTTTGTTGCCAACTACAAAGGAGACATTTGGGGATACCAGGGTCCCACCTTACTGACAAGGATGTTCAAAGCATTGTGCAGCGTGACCGATTTCCATATCGTGGAAGATATAAGCTGTAAGAACATTTCCTTCTTACAACCTGAGCGTTTCTACCCCATCCCATATACACAGTGGAAGGAGTACTTCAGGGTCTGGGAGAAAAGCCCCAACTTCAACAACTCCTATTCTCTGCATCTGTGGAACTTCATGAACAAGGAACACGAGTCTGTGGTTGCAGGAAGTAACACCTTGGTGGAAAATCTCTTCAAAACATACTGCCCCACCACGTACAAGGTCCTTATTCAAGACTCAGAAGACAGTGGTCCACAGGCAGTGAAATAAGACTGAATGACTGGATCTAGTAGAATGAGGTGACCCTTCCAGACCTGACTGTCCTGGGACTAAATAAATTGTGCACAAAACGGATCTCCTCTGAGTCAGTGACTGTCAGCCATTTTTTTCTGTGCTAACCACTTTGTAAGAGAGAAACTCTCCGAGTCCACCTCTACTCTCAAGTTTCCCCAGGACCTAATGAATTCAGTAGGAAAGCAAAGGTGCAAATACCATTGGGGAGAAATAGATAAGTATGTCATGCCCTTTTGGAAAAATGTACCCTAAGTGATCTAGGAGCCTGAGTCCCACTGTAAAAAGCTCCACTGAAAATCAGGGGTGACTTAGGAACCCAAGGGTCAGATTTTCAAAAGTATTTGCTGCCTACAGATGCCCGTAACTGCTTTTGAAAATCCCATTGGGCGTCTGTCCTCCTCTTTAGACGCCTAAATGCCTTTCAGAATCCGTCCCCTTTGATGCATTTGGAAATTTTGCCCAGTCATTTGCTGTGTGTCCTGCAGCATCTTGTGCGATGAGGCTGAGGCTTCGCCCTGCTACTGTAATACTCATGTTCAATAACTGTGAATACAATGACTCTCCACGAACAACGGCCCACAACTCCTGCCTCTGTCCAGGTGTTCATTACGATTGTTTGTTTTCCCTCTCCTTTGCTTCAGCTCTGCATCCTGCCTTCTGCACAGTGACATTTTAAATGCTCCTTTAAATAAAAGTTCCACCCCACCCAATGGCTCTGAATTTGTATTTCCCCACATAAGCCTCTCTCAGGCTTCTGGGGTGAGAGAAGAGGGGGGTGGAGGGTCTGTGCTCAGTGATTCTTTCTGTGTGTGTCTCTCTAACTGTCCTTATATGGCCCTGTTCTTGCAGCATGTGGGCGTCTCCCCATAGCCCCGTGTGGCTGGGAAGCTCTGTTCTCCCATTTGTGCAGTTGGAGACCCAGTCGTGGAACTGAGGTCTGGAGCCCAACGCGGGACCCAGGGACCTACCCCCAGTGCCAGGCGCTGCCGCCATCCACACAGCCCCAGTCAGCCACTGCCTGGCTCCGGAACTGCTTTGACTCATGGTTCCAGATCCCCGGGCACCTCAGTTTCTGCATCTAGGCCCCTGCAAGGCCCAGTCTGGCAGGTGTGTGCTGAGTACGCCGAGCTTAGCACATTCTGGGGCGAGAGCCTCTCCTGGTGTCGCTCAGTGCGGTGGGTACAAATAGCTGCGTGTGCGCCGGGGCAGAGGCAGCACGACACTCGGTACATCCTCAGGCAGGTAGCCGGTGCCAGGCTGCGGCGATGAGACTGTTTCTAGCATGTCCGCTCCTCAGAGCCAGCACTGCACAGTGACCGCAGGGACGGGGCTGGCAGATTGGGGGCCGAGCAGGGGCCACTGGGCTGGGAGCTCACTCGAGCCAGGCTCAGTCTGTCAGAGTCCGGCCAGGCCCAGAGCAGAGGGCCGAGAGCAGGCGACCGCCCACCCAAAGCTGGGAGAAGACTGACGAGCTCTTTCACCCTCCCTTCCCTTCACCCACCCACTCTTATTCACCACGAGGCTTCCCGTCACGCTGGGCAAGATGTGCCAGCCACGGCTGCAGCCGGGCTCCCCAGCGCTCCCTCGCCTGGCCCGTCCCTGCGGTTACATTGACTGGAAAGTATTTCAGCTGGATTCTTTCCCGGTACGAACTGAAACCCTTTCACTCCCGTGCAGCTAGCCACTCGCCAGGGCAGATCCCGCCTGCTCCGCGGGACGGGCCGTTTGGAAACCCGCAGCCACCGGCACCACAGTCCCTGCAGCTGCCCCCCTGCCCGGAGGCTGCCAGGCAGAGTGGAGTGCAGCCAGGCCTGTCCAATTGCCATAGCAACTGCTTGTTTTTCCCACAGACGATTCGGGGAGAGGGGAGGCTGCTTTTCACGGGTGGGGCCAGCTGGGCTGGGCTGAGTGGGGTTTTCTCCCTGTCGGGCCCACGGGAACTCCGGCACCACAGTCCCTGCAGCTGCCCCCCTGCCCGGAGGCTGCCAGGCAGAGTGGAGTGCAGCCAGGCCTGTCCAATTGCCATAGCAACTGCTTGTTTTTCCCACAGACGATTCGGGGAGAGGGGAGGCTGCTTTTCACGGGTGGGGCCAGCTGGGCTGGGCTGAGTGGGGTTTTCTCCCTGTCGGGCCCACGGGAACTCAGATTTTGCGGGGGCTCCTCACTGGTAGCTGCTTTCCCAGGTGGCTTTGAATTCCCAGGCGGTACAGCTGGGGTGCAGGGTTACAGCGGGAAACCCTCCCTGCTCCTAGCGGCTGTGCAGAGCACGGTGCCTCTCTGTGCAGAGCACGATGCCTCTGCAGCCACATTGTGACTCTCCGCACCTGCCGCCCCGAGGCCCAGCCAGGCGCTTTGCAAACTCTGCCTCTGCGAGGCCAGGTCGGGGTTCACTTCCCTTGCCAGGGGCTGGGCCAGTCACGGAGATCCCCAGGGAACAGGCCAGCACGGCAGCAGCAGGCCAGACCCCGGTTTCTCAGCCCTTCACATCCCTGGGACAGGCTGGCTGCCTTCCTCACTGTGCCACAGAGCACGTGCCCAGCCCGGCCCTTGCGTAGCCCCGTGTCGAGCGGGAACCACGTCCCTGGGCTCCCCTGCATGGACAGGCAGCACCGCAGCAGTGAGCTTGGGTAAGTGCTGGCTGCGGGGCCCGCTCTGGAGCAGTCTCACCCACTGGGGCGCAGGGGGTGGGTTGCAGGTGGGGGGAGAATTTTCACAGCCAGGAGACACATTTCCAAATAAGCCAGATGGGGCTGGAGAGGCTGCTCTGTGGGAACAGGGTGTGTTAGGCTTCCCCACAGGCCGAGTTCCTCTCCGAAGGGTGGAAGAGGCCAGCAACGCAGGCCGAACGTCCCTAGGAAGCTGATGTAGCAGGGGAGGATGGGGGGGTAGGACATAACGCTGTGGGAGGTTTGATGGTAATCAGGGCCAATGATGCGGGCGCAAAGGGCGCAGTAGGCCTGGGCCTGTTAAGTCAGGGCACTGACTGACCCTTGCCCTGCCTCCCCCTCTGAGGCCTGGCCTGTTCAGGGGTCTGGAGCTGAGCCCCCACTCACTCCCATTGCCCAGGGCCGGGCAACGTGTCACCAGTTAACTCTCCCTTGCCCCCTTCGCAGGCTCAGAGCGCTCCACACACCTGGGCACTCCGACCTCTGGGCTGTACGTTCCCCAGCGCAGGGTCTGTCTGTTCCTGGTGGGTTGTGCAGTGGGGCCCCTAGGTGCTCGGGGTGCAATGAGGAAGAGGAGGGGAAGGCCCAGTATTGCAGAAGCTTCCAAGCAGGGCTGTGCTTCCCCTCAACCAGCCCTACCAGGGGCTGTGCTCCCTGCCTCGCTGCCACCTGGACTACGCTCCCACTGCCATCCCAGATTCTCAGCCTGGCCAGCCGGAGCTCTCTTGTCCAGCAATATCCATGGTCCTGCCAGACCATGGATGTTGCTGGACCAGAAAGTCTCAGATTTTAGAAGTTTAACCTAGATACAGCTCTTGAGATTACATCTATATTTGCACCAGCTTTTCTAGGAGCATACATCTAATTATTCACTTGCAGGGCTTGAGCACAGCATGTCAGTTGCTTAGTTCATGTTATTTATGGGTAGGGGAGAAGGATACATTGATAAGAAAGTTTGCATTACATTTAATATATTTGTTTTCTATCCACTCGTCTCATTTTATCATTTATGGTTGTGGGGTGGTGTGTCCATCCCAGAGAATGCTGATGACTTCTCTGAAGTTTGTCATAATAAAAGAAGCTATAATGCAGTAGAATTAGGCCCTAGGAATGCATTTGGCAATGATTATATTATACCTAAATGGATTATTACTATCTGGATAATGGACAGTGATGAATGAGCGTGCCAGTAAAAGAATACTTTCCAAACTAATCTAAAGCTCTTTTTATGAATTGCTATTTCATTCTGGATACTATATTTATTTAATGCAACTGTTATTAATAGTTCATTTGCTGTTATAAGCATGCTCTTTATATAGATAATTATAACTCTTGTACTTTGTGTCATATAAAAATTATATGTGGGTCCTGTGGCTTAGCAGGCCTGGGATGGAAGTTTCCATCCCTGCTGTACCCAGCTTAACATAGCCTGGAACCCTGCAAGCCCAAAAAGCAGCTGGGCTTTATCAGCTCTAACCCATGCCTTGAGCTGGGAAACTACTAACGGTAAACAAGTTTGACCTCGATCTCAGCACATAAGGGTGATAAGAATGGTGTAGAGCCAATACGCGCACACCAGTAAACAACTGTAGTATTACTAGTGCAGAGAGTCCTGAGCCCAGTGAGTCTCACCAGGGACCTAGACCTCGGAGGGTGCCCTGGATTCCCCAAGCTGGATCCACGTCCACTGCGGCCTGGTGAGAAGTGGCAGGAACAGGACTCCCCGCAAACTGAAGGGGTGTAAGCATTTCTAAGTTCCTCTTGTTCTCTTTTATGCATTGCTCTGCTTCGAGCTTGTTGAGGTGTTACTTTGCAGCAGCTGTGTAACCATCTGGCAGTATTAAGCCTGTAATAGTAGTGACATGGTCAGATGAATAAAAGCAACGATCCCTAATCGACTCTCTTGAAGCGAATCCATAACCTGTTTGGCCCTGGCCTTGTGAATTGACATGAGGTTATTCCGATAACAAAGAGCACGTCTACTCCGCAAGCCATTCTTTCAAAATAATGTCGAGCTGGAGGACTTCTTGCTCCTACTCTTGGAACCCTCGTTTCATGAGGAGTAAGGGCAGTTCTTACTGCGTGTTCTTCCTGCGACTTTCTGCTGTGTCGGCAGTGCCAAAAATCCAAATTAAGCTATTTTAGATTCAGCTACGCAATTGACGTAGCTCAGGTTGCATAACTTAATTCAGCTTTTGCCCTGCTGTGTAGATGGGCCCTCGGAGACTTTCTTTTGACCACACTGGGCTTTGGGTCTGACTACCAGGTAGGGCCTACACAGAGTGTTACACTCAAATGCTGATTCCTCAGCAGCTTGGCAATTGCACTTTCTAATTCTAGGGCTTTTCCCCCGAAAACTTTTAAGGAGCTGCTGGTCTTTTACATGCGCAGATTCAAATAAAAGCTGCTCTAAGCAGCCGGCCATTTTATAGCGGTGTGGCTGCTGTGCTGTACGTGCTTCTCTGCCAACTGGTAACTCATCGTAGCGCCTGTTGACTTCCTCTGTAATGTTTCTGAGGGTGGCTGAGGCGACATCTGGACTGCTGGCTTCTTTCGGAAGAAGCTTTTTTCGGAAAAGATCTTCCAAAAAATCTTATTCTGAAAGAGCGCGTCCACACACAAAAGTGCATTGAAAAAGCGATCTGATTTTTCGAAAGAGAGCGTTCAGACTGATTGGACGCTCTCTCTCATAAAAGGCACCACTTCAGCCAGGGCTTTAGATCACCAGTTGCTTCTGAGCGTTGGTGCAGGAGCCTTACAGAAATACACGCTTAAAGGGACCCCGCTGGACAGCCATGTCTCTGCTTCTGCTGCATGCTTGCCTACCTCTTTGAGGGACAGCAAAGCTCTCGCAGTGCCTGCTTTGGTTGCTTTGATCTCATGTAAGGCAGGAGGGAGGAGACAAGTGCATGATGGGATGCTGACAACATGAACCTAGGATCACCCACTGCACAGCTTGGGTCCCAGCATGCACCGGGAACATAACGCAGAATGCAAAGCAGCACAGGCACTGGTGGCTAGCTACCCACCGTGCACTGCTCTCAACATTGTACTGCTGTTATTGCAATTAGGAAGTTTCCCCTGAGATACAATCTATATCTGCTGGGCTGTGTTGGATGGTTTCGAGGGGTGGGGTGGGGGGCCACTGACCACCGAAAAGATCAACTGAGAGAGCTCACACAACTTGGAAGTGAAAAAATCCTAAATAAACTCCCATTGACATATCCCCCGAATGAGGAGAAAGGCTCTCCCCACGTTCTCCTTCCACACCACAGACTAGCAAGGCCCCACAACGCTGGAGTGGGAGCTCTGAGCCTTGAGGGCCAGATCCAGGCAAGCCAGGGGTGCATCTGGCCCCTGGGCCTTAGATTCCCCACCCCTGGTTTAGAACAACAACCCCTGCATCTTGGCAGTGGGTGGAACTAGAGGGCCCTTGCGGAGCCTTCTCACCCAAACCCTTTCAATGCTGCACATTTCATGAGGACAATGCTGAGCAACAAACCCTGCTTGGTCAAACAACCCCTTCCGATGCACACTGCGTACAATGGTTATTACAGTGGTGCAGCGGTGTGGCTGCAAGGGTGTGTTCTATCAACTGGGCCTTGGGTGCTCAGGTCTCATGGTGGCAGGGGGAGTTCTGCCTAGCAGTGAGAGCAGGGTCCAGGGGGCAGAGTCCAGGAAGCAAGCTGCATATCAGTACTAGAGGGACTCAGAAGACAAAGGAGAGAGGAGGAGCGTGGAGAAGAGGCAGAGCTGGGACTGAACGCAGGAGGCTGAGGATGAAGGGGCCGAGGGAGGTTGTGGAATCTCCATCACTGGAGATACTGAAGAGCACGTTGGACAGACGTCTACCAGGGATGGTCTAGAAGATGGTAATGGGTCCTGCTGTGAGGGCAGGGACTGGACTGGATGACCTCTCGAAGGCCGAGTGTTCTATGGTTCTACAGGAACTGGCAGGGGCTGGCGCAAGGCCTGGAAAGAGGACAAACACAGCTGTAGGCATGGCACTGATTGAAAAGCAGCCAATCTTCTGCGGGGCCATCTTGAACAGGGCTGCTACACCAGAAGCAAGACAGGGGTAAGTGCCCCCGTCCTGGTTGGAGAACCAGAGGGGGCTGGACTCTGTTGCCCCATTTTGTCCTCGTGTGAACGGGGTTGGCTGGGAGTG